CCCCTTGATGCATGTTTGCGATCGCCTGAACAAGGATGAGTTTGGTTTTCATTTGCGTTATTGACTTCCCAATTGTTTTACAGCGTCGACCTCCGTAAGGACGCCTTTCGAACGCCCCTTACACTCACAATGCGCCTGGGCCTAGCGCATTTGTGTGTTTCGCTCGAAATCCCACCTGCCCTTGTGGCTAAGGTGGTCTAAGGAGCTCTTCTGCTCCTCTTTCGCGCCTCTTCCCTTCGGGAGGGGGTAGCCTCCCCCTCCCAAAGGTGTTTGGGGGTGGGCGATCGGTCAGAGCGCCCCAAATGGCCCAAGATGCCCCCAAGATGGCTTCCAAGGCGGCTCAGGATAGCCGAGGATGCCTCAAGATAGCTTCCGACATGCCTCCACGAGGCCCAACGAAGCGCCCAAAAAGCGTCCCACGAGGACCCCACGAGGCGGTTTGCCTCCTGACAATCTGACAGCCTGAAAGCACGAAAAGTCGTCGAACGCTGCCATCCCCCCCCCCTCAGGGCCGTTCGGCCTTGGGAGGTTGATCAATCTAGTGAGCCAGAAGATCGGTGTCACTGGCTGGTAGGGGTAAAAAACAGCAGAACGCGGAAGGAGGAGAAGAAGAAGGACAATTTCATATCCTCGAGAAGGAGAGAAGGAGGGGACCGAGGCGGCGGCTGCGCCAATTGCGAAAAGGCGTTGTAGCAGTTGGCGCGGCTGTGTTGGCGAGCCGTGGAGGGCCACGCTCGCCAAGGTGGAAGGCTCAAGGGTCTCTCCCCCTGCTCGTAGGATGCCCCCACAGGAGTCCCCCCGTCCCACGGCGAGAACCCTCACCTGCAAGCAGCCGCAAGGTTACCAGCGCGTGGGAGTGGCGGCCACACGGGGGAGGCTCCACCGAATCAGGGAGGAGGCTTGAACCTTCCGCGGCGGTGGCCTGAGTGTGGGGGGGGGGGGCGCTCGCCAAGGCGGAATGCGCAAGGGTCTCTCCCCCTGCTCACAGGAGCCCCCTCCAGTGTCCCCCAGCCCCACGACGGGGACCCTCACCTGCAAACAGGCGAAGGGCCCCCAGTCCGCGGGACTGGGGGGCGCCTGGGGGGAAGGACTGCTGAGCGTGGCGGAGGTCTGCGCCTCCTGCGGCGGCGGCCGTCCCAGTCGAGGCCGTCCCACAGCCCCAATAACCCAGTCCCCTGCCTTGACGACTGCGCTGGCGGCCCTGTAGTGGCGTGGCTGAGCTTGGAGGCAAGGCTACAGAGGTCGAGGAGGGCAGAGGTAGGATGAGGAACGCTGGTCGTCGGCAGCGTGGCTGTATGAGGCCAGGTCAGCGGCTGCGGCGACCGTGGCCCTGGTCTGCCTCCTCCTCCTCCTCCTCCTCCTCCTCCTCCTCCTCCTCCTCCTCCTCCTCCTCCTCCTCCTCCTCCTCCTCCTCCTCCTCCCCTCGCCCCCCCCCCCTCGAGCCCCAGGGATGCCCGAAGAGGCCATCCAATGCCGCCCCCTTGCTCCAAGGGACCTCTCTGTCATCCTGGTTGCTATGTGTCTGTTCGTCTCTTTTCCCGTCAACTCTCTGGTCAATTTTTCTGAACGGGCTGGTGGGGATGCGCGAAACGTGAAGAATTACGTGCTTCTCGGGAAAGGGCGCACGATAGAAGTATGTTGCCCCTGCGGATGCGGGTGTCGGTGCCCTTCGGGGCTATCCCGGGTGAATGTGAGGACTATCGTTGGTCCTCCTGCGATCATCTTAGAAGCTCTTGGAGCCTCTCAGGGTCCCTTGGGGAGCTTATTGGGGCCGTCATGGGCCCTCACAGTGCAATGCCAGGACGACGCCCTCAGACACGTCCAGAGGCATGCCTCCACCCCTGGACGCCCACTGACACGTGCGCCCCCCGAAACGCCCCAAGCGCGGGCCCCGGGGAGGAGGAAGCCGCGGCCCTAGGAGACTGGAGGGACCACGACTCCGCTACAACGTGGGTATGGGTTCTGCGAACAACTCAAACAACTTCAGCCTGAACGGTCACTGGCCAGAATGAGTGGAACAGATGCTGCACCCTGCAACATTATGAAACAACTCCATCGATAGGCGAAGGATAAGTAAGGGTGGCGACGATACCAAGCATGCCACTAGCAGTGGCTGAGGGAAGCGGACAGGAGAAAGGAAGAGGGCAAGAACGAAGATGAAGAGGAGAGGAGGATGGCGTGGAGTGCCTGGAGGAACTGAACACGATGACGACGAAAAGGTTTGACAACTCAGTCCTGCAAGGCCGCACTCCGCTGAATACTCAACGGGTGCAGCGAAGTGGCGACAGTTGCACGTCTGGCCACGTCTGGGAACACCCATGGGCGCAAGAAATCAGCGACAGTTGCACCCGGGGGTAAGACCATTGGGAATGCGGAAGAAGAGAGGACGCGACTGGGCAAGCAGTAGACGCGAAGAGGGGCGACGGAGGAGGAGGAATAGGAAGAGACGAGGTGAAGGCGGGAGGAGCAGGAGCAGCAAGCGCCCTCTTCGAAGTGAGGGCCTAGCACGGTATGGCCAGTAGAAAGAGTGAGCCAACGAAAACACCCATGCGATATTACGTTCACGACCTGCTACAGCATCGGTGCGCTGCGTCCTGCCCTATGATGTTCTACCGAGCCCTTCGGCGGAGCTCGGTAGAACCATAATGCAGGCATGTCGTTGCTGCGCTTGCTCGGTCGTGGAGGTTGCCGCAGGCAACGGTATTATTCCCAGAACGGTAGGTGCACGACTACAAACGTTGCCACCTCTCCCCCGTGATAAAGGGGAAGCAAGAGCTGGCGTGGCAAGTCTTGAGAGAGGAAGGAACAACGTGAGGGGGGGGGACTGAGGAGAGTACTAAACGCAGAAACGAAAGACGCAGCCTACAAGGATCAAGCAATATGCGTTGGTGAAGGGGGGGGGCCAAGCCAGAGGGGAATGAGGAGGAAGAGCTGGAGGCAGAGGAGGTGTCTCTTGGTGCAGTCCCTGGCAGTCCCACAAGCTTCGGGCTGTTTTCCAGCTCCTCAAACCATCATTCACTGCCCTTCATCCTGTCCGTCATTTCTACTGGTTCGCAGGATGCATGCAGAGGCGCCAAGATAAAGAAAACTAACACAATCAGTTGGGAAGAATACCAGCCAGAGGGTCACATACATGATCATCAAATGACGGGTGCTGGCCTGAGCATCCCGATACTCGTACAGCACGCGGCACGTCTCAGAGAAGGAACTCGTAGTGTTCTCGGCAGCAAAATATCATTGCTCCCCCCGTGGGGCCTCTATGGTATGGTGGAGGGAAAGACGGACGGAGGTCGAATAAGGAGAAGCTTAGGGAGACAGGTAAGGGGTCTGGGCGGCAGGAAAAGATGATCATGGCGGCGAACCTGACAAATACCCAAATGACCAGACTTCAGCCAATCAGGAAGATATGAAGGGGCCCCAGGACACACAATTAAATACACACAAATAAAATATTCCCCATATTATCCCATATGTTCTGGGTTTCTGTCTTCCCCCCACTTCCCATATTTTCCTATATTTCTGGGGAATCGCCGATTCATTGTGTCTGTATGTTTCTTTCCCTCCTGCTTACTGCCTTCACGACACGACAGCACCACGGCACCCCTCGCGGGACACCACGACACCCCTCGCGAGGCACCCCGCAACACCCGACGCCCCGCGCCCATCGAAGGATAAGCAGAAGGACTTTCCACGTCGTCCAGTCTGGCAACCTGGGGAGCTTGCGCATAGCACGTCGCGCCATCAGCGCACGAACGACACGAACGCGAATTACGATGTCCCATAAGGCCGGGCGTCTGAGTTCCTCACGCAGCTACCTGCCTGCGAAGTCAGATCTACAGTTGCCGGTGGCCTTCTTGACCAAAAGACCAAAAAGCTTGAGACTCTCTGACACGAAAGGGTGCCGACGGTCAACTTCTAGATCGATCAGCTGCGCAGAGTGCTGCTACTATAGCTCACGGATGAACCGGCACGGCCCTCTGACAGAAATGAACACCCCTTGCCACGAGGAGTTACCCTTCCCCATGTGCCGCCCGCCCACAAGCGCAAAACGGGCACGTCACATCATAAACGGGCCCACAGAAATGAGCCAGATCTCGACAGCAGTCGCACTGGCTGCCACTGCAGCGGCAACGCAGAAAACCCAGGCGCTCCTCCAAGTCAAGATCCCCCTCCCCCTCCACCTCCTCTTCCTCCCCCTGCAACAGCAGAAGGACGTCGTTTTATGTAGAACACTAACAGCGTAGGGCCTTCAACATTCGACACAAACAGCGACGCAAGGAAGGAGTACCCCCTGTGCCACCTACATTATCCTCGAAGGGACCGTCCGCACAAGCGACAGTGAAATGATAACACTAAGTGAAGCCTTCATCGGCGGACGGAATCAACCCACAGGGAGGTCACGCCACGCACGTTACAGTATTGAGCGCTCGTCGCTTGATGGCAGGCGACTTCAAACGATAGTTAGACCACATACCAACTGAAGGTGTCCTCAAACACCAGCGCTTACTGCAGAGTGGAGGCATGCGTTCAGAAACCACTTCGGCAACGGCGGGCTTCAATGTTTCAGCCGAAGTACGCATCTCGTGTATGGTTTCATTCAACCTGGTATTTCTGCTAACATATTTGGTTAGGCCATCCGCTAGTGTACGTTCTCATGCGCGCTAGCCTTGGCTAGTATGATGTCTACTCTTCCGAAGTCTCCTGCAGCCGTACCTGGCACACCTCAATTCGTGTACATGTCCCTTGTCCCCTTCGACTTGCAGTCGTAATGACTGCTGGGACATCACCACTGAAAAGAATCTGTCTCTCAACTTCGAGGTCCCTTACCACCGCTTGCAATTACATCCCCACTGCGCCTCCCTTTGCCATTCCATTATCCGCCACCGTGCAGCTGGGCATTGAGTCGGCGTGTCATCAAGTTCTGGGCCCAATCCTGTAAGCCCCAATACTCACCCCTGAGGGGTCCTTAAGGGGCCCAGGCCCCAAATTCCGAAATCTGCTGGGGCTTGCCGCGTGCCCACCGGGCTCCTCCGCGCGGTGGCGTGTAAACTTTTCGGGCCCACGAGGGCCCCAAGACGCATTGCCGACGCGCGCTGGCGCTGGCGCGGAAGGAAGCGCGTGCGTGGGCGCTCCTCGCGAGTCTCCGCTCGGCGCGCGTGCCGTGTGGCGGCGGTCGCGTCTTCGACCGCAGGAGCCCGCCTGCCATCGCGCCCCCGCACGAACGTGACCGCCCAGAGTGTCACAAGTTCCCCCGGACCCCTCCGAGACCCGGGGGCCTGGTGGAGCAACTACTCCTCCTCGCCCGCATCCCCCACTTCGCACCTGTTCCTCCTCACCCTCTCCTCTTCCTCTCTTCCTCATTATCCTCTCTCTTTCCTCCTTCTCCCCCAATATTCCCTTTCCTCGTCCTTCTCCTTCCTGCCGCCATCCTTCGTCCATCCCGCCCTCCCTTCCACCATTCCTCCATCATTATTTCTCTCCCTTCTATCCCTCTTCTTCCCTATCCCCCCAATGCCCCCTTCCTCTCGCAGCATCCAGCATCCGTTCTTCAGTGACCCCCATCCTTCATACATCATCCTCCGCTCCATCGTCGTCATCCACAACACCATCATTCACGCGTATTGTCATCCTGCTCACCACCACCAACACAGCCCCCGTCAACAACTGTACTCATCATTATCAGCAACAGCAGCAGCAGCATCCCGAGCTTCATCATGACCGTCAGCATCCTCGTCAAGACAATCATCATCGTTTTAATCACCACCATCACCATCGTAAACATGTTCAACAGCGACATCGGCAGCGTGGTCAACATCGTCAGTGTCATCGTCCAATTATATTTTATCCCTAATTCACCTTACCCCGTCTACATCTGCATCCCCCTCCTCCCGCTCCTCAGCCGCGTCAACCTCCTCTCTACCGTCATCCCACTCCGCATCCTCCGCCTCCTCCTTCTCCTTCTCCTCCTCTTCGCCATCCTCCTCCTCCTCCTCCTCCTCCTCCTCCTCCTCCTCCTCCTCCCCCTCCTCCTAGTCCCGCCTACATCTTACACGTCCTCTCCCATCCTACCCTGTCTCCCCATACCCCGTGTTTCCTCCTCATCCCCCTCCCACTCCCACTCCAAATCCGTGTTCATAAACAGAATAAGCACCATCACCATCATCGTAATCATCAGCATAGCCATCACCATGACTCTCACCACACGTAATCACAGTTACCATCATCATTCACATCACCGTCCCCTCATCCGCCCACCTATTCCTCTCTCACCTCGTCCCCATCCAAGTATTATCCATCCTCTCCCTCCTCAGTAGCATCCTCCTCATCCTCCTCCTCTACTTCCCCCTCCGCATCCTCCCCATCCTCCAACCTGTAACACCCGCCACCCAGCAATAACCTCCTTTGGACCGCACGCTAGCGTGTGCGAGCCGCGCAGCCCGCAGGCGGAGCGACACTTCACCGCCAGACAGAGCGCGGGCAATCCTCGCCCAACCGTGCGCGGTCCACGCGAAACCAATCTTGCTTCCCATCCAACACATCGTCTAGACAACGTCGGGCGGAATACTGCCGGATGCACCGACGCCCCGTCCGCACACACACACACACACACACGAGACACGTCCAACCCCTTCTACACACGAGGCGAATACTTGCCCGGACGCTCCATACGGAAGAACACATCGACAGATATGCACGATCTGTGCTGCCCTCACCGCCGCCATGCCTCCAACGAACCTACAAAAGTAGCGACGGCTGCGTACTTGGTAGCCTCCCAGGGAGCTGCGAGGTATTGGCTGGATCCGCGTGGTCGCCGACTCCGCTGGACCATGTCGCAGCATTTCAAGGAGCAGCGAGGTTTCCTCCAGGTGCGCGTGGCCGCCGACTCCGCTGGACCTCCCAGGAGCCCACGAGAGTGGCGACAGCGGCGCAATTCAAAGCCACCCAAGGAGCTGCGAGGCCTCGTCCGGGTGCGCGTGGCCGCCGACTCCGCTGGACCTCCCAGGAGCCCACCACAGTGGCGACGGCGGCGCAGTTCGCAGCCGCCGAAGGAGCAGCAAGCTCCCCAGGGCCCCGGGGGCGCGCGGCCCAGGGCCCCGCCGTGCCCCCCCGGGAGCCCACGGAGGTGGCGACGGTTGCAGCTCGCAGGCCCCCCGGGGAGCTGCCAGGGCTCGGCGGGGTGCGCGTGGCGCCCCGACACCGCTGGAGTTCCACGAAAGTGGCGGCGGTTGCACAGATCGCAACCACACAGGGGGCCGAGAGGCCCCGCCTGGCCAATCACGCGTACTCCCCTGCTCCGCCCTGCCCCCCAGGAGCCCACAAGAGTGGCGACGGTTGCACAGCTCGGAGCCCCCCAAGGAGCTGCCAGGTCTCAAATGGATCCGTTTACTTCTCGACTCCGGCATGCCTCTGAGGAGCCCAAGAAAGTGGCGACACTTACACAGCTCGCACCAGCCCAGGGAGCTGCGAGGTCGCGAATGAATCCGTTTACTCCCCGACTCCGCCGTGCCTCCCAGGAGACCACGAAAGTGGCGACAGTTGCACAGTTCACAGCCCCCCAGGGAGCAGCGCAGCAGAAGGGGGGAGGAGGAGGGGGTGAAGGAGGAGGCGGGTGTGCGACTGCAGTGCTCGGTTCAAAACGAGAAGCCAACACAGATGGGTTGGGGAAAAAACATGCCATCCGTTTTCTGCTTCCAAAATCGGCAACCGGACCCGTTCAGCGGCACGTTCTGGCAAGTATTTCGATGCGGATCCAGTCGTGACGAAGAGAGCGCAACAGGCCGTCAAAAAAAAAAAAAAAAAAAACGCGCCCGCAAACATAGATCCTGGATCCTGAATCATCCTCCCCCATCTCATCCCCATCGTCCTCCACCTCCATCTCCTCCTCCTCCTCCTCCTCCTCCTCCTCCTCCTCCTCCTCCTCCTCCTCCTGCTCGTCCTCCTCCTCCTCCTCCTCCTCCTTGGGCTGTAGCTTTTGCGCTACACCCCCCCGGTAGCCTTCTTTCGAGGAGCTTTCGAGGACTGCCTGACCTGACCTGACCTGACCTCCTCCTCCTCCTCATCCTTCTCCTCCTCCCCCTCCTCTTTTATTCCTCCTCC